ATAATAATTTTCAAAGTGAGAACTTGAGGTGTTACACGATTTTGCAAACACTTATCGCGTGGACTACTTCCGGCTGAACACGGACCATTTTGGGGCGTTTTTCGGTCTTTAATTTGGAAGTTTCGCTTGCTGATAATTTGACCTCCGACAGCCCTGATTTAAGGTCAAACTCAGGAACGTGAAGATCATGGCCTTTCACTTGCGAGTGCGACACCAGGCGTTGGTATAATTAATTACAGTTTCGATTTAAGGGAACGCTTTCGAGATGACAAAAGGAAGCAAGGACAAATGTCTTGATTTCATTCGATTTCCGACCGAATACTGATGTTTAATAAACGAGCTCTACATGTTGACGTTCATTTTCTTCCGGCTGCAGAATCGCCTTCAATGAATTTCCCGGGGGAATCGATAATTGGCTGGACTGTCGATGCAATTCAAAGTAAACGTAGACAATTTGCTTTTCCGGAAAAGAAAAAGCTTCCATCTCCGTGACAAAGCACTGAATATCCTCTGACTTTCCTGGTTTTCCGTGATTTCCTTCCCTTCCGCGGTTTAATTTTGAGTCCACCTCTACATCAAGACAAACCCTCCATGCCAAGATAGGGAGTAAATACATTAGCAGGGTTGCCGTGTTTTCAGTTTTAGAGTCCCCAAATAAAGTGGCAGCCCTGCCAATGTATTTGCTCCCTATCTTTGCATGGAGAGTTTGTTTTGATGTAGACGTGGACTCTCAGGATAGCGTGGGATATCCCCTCCATTTTGGCCTCAACTTGAGAACTTTTTTTGAGGTTGGGAGTTGATTTCAGGGAAAACCAGTGGCACCATCGTGTTTCTCGCGAACTTTTACAAAAAAATCAACAGTCAAATCGCAAATTCCTCACACATGCAACATCTCCATTGGGACCTTAGCGGGGCGTCCAGCGCGAGTTGCTTGCTAGAGCGTTAACGATCAACTTCTTGGAGTAGAAAAGAGAATAAAAGAGAAGCAATAGAAGATAAGAGGAAAGACGTTCGGGGGGAGGGGGGAGGGGGAGAGTGCTGTTTTGCTTGCGGTAAGTGAACAGTAGGCACTGAGTAGGTACTATAGACGGAGTACTCTGACGTAAGAAGCTTAGCGCGGCGTCTCTCTCGGAGTAACGTTATTCTCGGGAGCAGGCAAAAATTATGCAAACTCCATGGAGACACTCCGAGTACTCACCGAATCGAAACCGCTCCGGCTTTTAGGGAAAATGTGCAGTGTTTCGAAAAGTTCCATCGCGATCTGGCAGTCCTGCCTCACTGCGATATGGGGATTTGCCTCACTTCTTCGTCTAACACTTAGCGACCCGGTAATTTTCAAGAATGACGTCACCTCACACCCCGAGATATGCATCACGTTGCCGCGACCTGCAGATCGCGAGATCGGGCGTCATTTGTACGCCTGGTGCCTTACTTAAGCGCGGATAAAATATTGGAATATAATACTTATTTAATCCATTTTTATTCAATCTAATATTAGTATCTAATCTCTGCAAATGATGAGTAATCTAATATTAATGCCTGATCTGTTGATGATGACGCTCTGTCGATCTGCTGCCACTGAAGACTCGAGTTGGGTTAGATTAGGTCACGCAACTAAATCAGCTTCGCGGCAATGCGGGAGGTGTCTTACGAAAATGAAGGCGCGCGGTGCGCAACTTGTAAGTCGCGCAGATTTTTTCTGCAGCTGCAAACATAACGATGGGGCTCAACTTTCTTTCCTTCCCTGTTTGTGCAGACAACAAATCGATGGCTGAAGTCGACAAATGCGCTTTTCCGATTACAACGTTACACTGGAAAAAAAAACACATTGGCTCTAGAGTCCAGACTCTTGAAAACATTGATAAGAAAAAATACTCTTGATTCAATCGGATTTTTGCTTGAATCAACACGAAATCCGCTTAAATTAAGAGGCTTGGTTCTTGATTTAAGCTAGATTCTGATTGAATCAAGAATACTTTTTCTTGTCGATGTTTTTAAGAGTCTGGACTCTAGATCAAATGTGTTTTTTTTTCCAGTGTGCAAATATCTATTCATTTTTTATTTTTTTAAAAGGAGACCGACTGTCAAATTGTCATGGAATTTAAGCTCCTCTGGTTTGAATACATTCACGGAGAATTTCAAGGAGTAAGTACGGCAAATAGGTGCCAAGGGGAAGGGGGCATTTAGGGTTGAAGCATTTAATGTTGGTGTCGTTATCTTGAGAGCTGCATAACTGTGAGATTTAAAAATTCCCTTTATAACACCCTGTCCTCGGCCATCATTCTAGTTCATTTTTCTTCTTTTTTTTATAGAAAGAAAGAAAAAAAAGACTTTTTGATTTTTAGAGTTTAAAAGCGCCCATTTCTGAAAGCAAAAACTGAAGAAAAAGAGCAGGATCTATTTGAAAGTGACAACGACTGCTTTCAATCTGAAAATCATAGTGACTTTTCACTGCTGCAGTGATCGCGGACACTTTTCTAAAATGATATTTTAGTTACTTAGTCTTCTCGTAAAAAGAGAGGAGAAATCTATAGACGTTGCAATGGAAATACGCATTTTTCAAAATAAGCGATCATTAAGCTAGATTCGCGGTTGCTATTGTAATATGGGTTGATCTACGCTTAAAAACGCACATTTTCGCTCTTAAGAGACAATCGAAAAATAAACCAGTAATGCAGCATAATACATATTCTAAGATACGTTCGGTGTCTAGATATTTGTCTACTGCCGGTATTAATTCACTTTATTGGTGATCCCGATTCAATTCAAAGTCGCACAGTAAACTCGAGTTCGGTTGGATTAGGTCACGCAACTAAACTAACTCCGCGGCAATGCGGAAAGTGTCGCACGGAAATGAAGGCGCGTCACTATAAAATCGCGCAGGTTTCTCTTCGAGCTGCCATTGATGGACGGTTTTAAAAGGTGATACTGGTTTCACCTGAAAATGACTCTCAAGCTCAGGAAAAGCTCTTAAGTTGAGGCTGTAAGGGTGGAGCACCTACTCCAGGGTTGCCACTCTGTGTGGGAACTCGGAGTGTCAAGATGAAAATTTTTAGCCCCCAATTACAGCATCTGCTATTGCATACAATCCTGTCTCTGCGTTAGGAATTTGCTGAAAATAAAAGTGGTCTCTTCAAAGAATTCAAGGGTGCTCCTGCAATATGGCCTCAACTTTGAGGTATTCTTCTCAGCTTTGTACATGGTTATTTCCAAATAAAATCAGGGATACCATTGTGTTCCAAGTGAAATTTTTCTCTAGAAAAGCTGGTTAAAGAAAAATCCCTTAATGCTGCAAGCAATCTAAATGCTAACACTAGAAATTATAGAGGTTTGCATGAACATGCACCAACTGGCAACTTTTTTTCTCAGATTTCAAAAAAGAGCAGAAAAAGTTGTTTGTCTAGGAAGTTTATTTTTCACCAGCTTTTTCAAACACATTGTTTTCAACAAATAACCGGATCATGCGGCGTTGTACCAATCTTGCCTGGCTCCCAAACAAATGGCTTTAGGTAGCTTCGATTGTTTGTTTATGTCTTCCAAGAAAGTGCAGTAAAAGTAATGGACTAGTGCACACCATACATCTTGCGCGCAGCGCATGCGTATTACATTTAGTATATATCATATAGGCGATTCAGATAAGGGTATGTTTTCAGTAGAATCTTCCAAAGGGGTATGGAAGCAAAGTTGTTACAGGCAGGCAAATTTGCTTGTAAAAAGCTTTAAAGATGCTTTAAAGTTCATTAAAATTCAGCAAAATTTATCAAGAGATAGATTAAATTTAAAATTTCTAAAGCAGTACCTAGCCCGTGACAATGGTGATATGAACCATAGGAGAAAAAATAGGAAACAAGGCTAAAAATTACATATAAAAATCCAATATGTTTTGGCTCAAAACTGAGCTATTTTTAGTCGGAAGAAAAAAAATAAAATATAAAATTCCAAATAGAAGAAAGAGAAAGACTGATAACTTGAAGACCATCGATGCCGGCACCGCTGTTCAGAAGACATTTCGGAAAATCACTCAAAGATGGCAGCTTGTATCAATGAAGTAAATGAGCTAAGAGAAAAAGACCCTTAGATGTCGCTGGGGAGCCCCGCTGAACCAGACTTCTACAAAATGAGTGATATAAGGTGCTAAGCCCACTGATGTCAGCGCGGGAATTACTAGTATTATTAGCACCTTATATCACTCATTTTTTAGAAGTCTGGTTTAGCGGGGCACCCCAGAGACATCTGTGGTTTTATTTCTTTTAGCTCATTTACTTCATTGATACGTGCTGCCATATTTGAGTGATTTTCCAAAATGTCTTCTGGACAGCGGTACCGGCATCGATAGTCCTCATGTTATCAGTCTTTTTCTCTCTTCACTTTGTTTTGATTTTCTTGGCCATCATGTAGTCTACAGGTTTCTATTTGGAATTTTTTCATTTCATTTTCATTCTTCCAACTGAAAATTGCTCAGTTTCGAGCCGGAACATCTCGGATTATTATGTGTACTCTATAGCCATTTCTAATTTTTTCTCCTAAATGTTTTGATATAAAATTCAAAATGTACGGGAAACCAGCAAATGCCCCCCTCCCCCTCCCCAAATGATGCCCCTGAATTTGTGCAACTGGCTATGATGAGCCAGTAATTCATGGACTATAAAAAATGCATTGCTTCGAACCTTGAAAGTTGTAAAAAGGGTGCATCTCAGAGTCAACACCCCACCGCCACCTGCCAAGATATGGAGGCCCCCCACATCTTTATCTTTGACATGTAATTGCGAGTTTCGGATTCAGAGTTTCTTTGAGTATTTTGACAGCCTCAAACGTGATACTCCTGACATAGCCTTGTGCCTTAGTGATCCAATCTATTCCTCTCAATATCGTGAGAAAAATAAAAGCAAGAGGTGTAAATCAACCAGAGTAATTGGGAGTCGCTGAACTTCTGACAACTTCCAAGCAAAATAAAATTAACACATAAGTGCTGAAGTAAAAATTTAAAACGTAGGGCTCACCTTGATGATATGTGGCTGGCGCTACACTCCAACTATCCCAGAATTTTGAGATTTTCAGAGATTGTGGGTAAGTCTTGTACGAGATGGTATTGCTTGTACACCACTGCTACACTGCAATAACACACAGTACTTACAGTAGTTTATATTTACTTCATCCCTTAAAAAGGGCTTGCTTAAAAGTAGAGTTACTTACTGCACAAGCACGTTCATAAATTCACATACAAAATGATTTCTATAAATACTTTTCTACATTAATTTCCAGTGGAAACCGAAATGAGAACACTTGAGAGAGAACGTAAACAACAAGACCAAACGAAACGAGATCGATCCCATGTTCCAAAATTAGATTGCAAAATTCCAAAATCCACATCGGTTCTATTCCAAACATGTTCCTAATTACGAATTCAAGGAAATGAATTTTTGAACCATTTTCTGTTGTTGTTTACATATTTATTAGGTTATGTTGTAATTTTAACCGGTGCCGGTTTTTGAAATAATATCGACCACAAAATATAAGTACTCTAAGTATTCAGAACCTCTTTTACCTTTCTTGTGTTAACCTAGAATGTCAACCGTAATTTCAGTCACAATCGGTCCATTGGCATGTCATTCGTGCTCGTAGAGCATAGTCTACCTTACAGTGAAGTTAAGATTCCACTAGTTTCTTCAACTTTAATCGTAACACTGAATTCCAGCAGTCAAAAATGACTAATTGGGTCAGCAGTCAAGCAGATAAATTCAAGGAACATTTCAAAAAACACGATGTGATAAAAGAGTACCAAGCGCACACCGCCAAAGTTCATTCCATTGGATGGAGCTGCGATGGTAAACGTTTGGCCTCAGGATCCTTTGACAAAACAGTAACCATTTTTACATTGGATAGAGACAGACTGGTAAGTGCAAGTTTTTTATTTTAATATCATACTTTTTCATGTTACTATAAATGCTAGGAGCTGGGAGTTAGAGCTGAGATTTGAGGCAGCATCATGAAAGGAGGGCCATTGCCATTCAAGGCAGGCATCCAGCACGGACTTTGATGCCGCATCGAACAGTGCGCCGGGGGATCGCATCGGCGGGCAAGGCGGCTTAACTTGGCGAAGCCAACACCTGGCATGGCTTCATGATGCCGCATCAATTTTGATGCCGGGTACCCAATATCGAAAGTAAAGCGGCCTCATTCAGACACGTCAGATGCAAGCGCCCTGGGTCAGGCTGCGGGGCCGTTAATCGCACTGGGCTGCTTTTTCAACCCTTCCTCGGAGTCCACTTCTTAGAACTTCCCGGCAAGGTGTGGGCTGCTGCGCTGATGGGAAACGTAGACAAAGGGGTGTTCAGCAAATTCATCGCCAAGTCCAAGGGTCGCATACCCAGGCAGTCTTTTGGGACAGCCCCTTCGGTAATGAGGCTGGTCGATTCTTATGGAATAATGTTTCCTAATATTCCAAAAAATAAGCTGCCAGTAGTTCAGTGCTTTTTGAGCAAAAAAAAAAAACCTTCACCTCTCTATCCTTTCATTGTTTAGTATTTTAAGTCTTGTACCTATTATTTTTCAGAATAAAGAGTTCACTTTTAAAGGTCATGGAGGAAGCGTCGATCAACTATGTTGGCATGCCAAAAATCCTGAACTTTTATGTACTGCTAGTGGTGATAAAACAGTTAGAGTATGGGATACCAGAACACAGAAGTGTCCTGCGACTGTCCATACAAAAGGTAAGCTATCAAATTCTTCTTACCAATTGGAAAATCAAACTATACTAAATGCTCATATATATAAAAATAATTAAAAGCTTATTAGTCAGGTATCAGGGTTCTTGTTAAGGATCCAACACATGAGGTCAAACATTTTTTCTTCATTTTTATCCGAAAATCTTTCTTAAGTTCTCTTAATCAAAGTTTTCCTTAAAAAAAAGTAAGTCACCAACTAATTTCCCAATCTGAAATCTATTTTCCTCAATCTATTCTTTCAAAATTGTTGTACCTGTCAGCATTTTAATGTAGTCTTTAAAAGTGCAGATATGAAAAAAAGACTAAAATTTTGGCGTAGATACTGTAAGCAGAAGGATAGGAGAATGAGCTAACTTTTTTTTTCTACTACTTCAAATAGCCCACAAGGGCTAATCCTTGCGCTTTAGTCCCAGGCGACCCTTGTTTAAGATCATCAAAATTTGAGTTAACTTTGCTAAAAATGGACCTCTAAAACTCAATTTCTACCATTGCAACATCAGTTTGAACTTTTTATGATCCATAAAACTCACAATCAGTGTAATTTTGAACCATTGTCTCGTTTTCCATGAAGTTGTGAAAATATTGAGAACTAGGTACCTTCATTCAGTGGTGATTGCTTTTGATAGGTGGTAAGATCAATTTTTCGATTCATTCATTTTTTTCAATAATTTTTTATCAGTTTTATCTCAATACCATGTCTGAGTGAGCAGAACTTTTTTTTCCCCTTAATTCGCCCGTATTTTTCATTTTCATGAACTCATGTAACTTCCCTCTCCAAATCTGACACAAAAAACCTACCTACACGAACAAGGCTAATAGATAAAGGAAGTTCTTGGAATGAATGACAACTTCAGTTGTTTCAACCCCTTTGTCAACTAAGAAACAAAAACAATTGAAAAAAATTAAAAAAATCACTGACCTGGTTCATGTCAGGAATAAGAGATGAAAGGATTATTATTTATTATAGACAGGGAACAGGCCGTTTTGATTAAATCTAATTAATTTTATTGAACTACATTTTGTTTCCTGGCTTGAAACGACTGCAAGGATGCCCAGACATTTTCAACTCTTTCACCCATGTTTTTTATTTCCTTGACCATGTCCCGTTCCCTTTGCCCTCTTTATTTGGGAGGTATTTTTCACCTTCCTCACTCTTAGCTTTCAAATGTTACTTACTTCATCGTATTCATTCATTTTTTTACACAGGTGAAAATATGTACATAACTTGGGCACCAGATGGGAATACCATTGCTGTCGGAAACAAAGAAGATCTAGTAACATTCATTGATGCCAGGATGTACAAAATAAGGGCAGAACAACAATTTGCATTTGAAGTCAATGAAATCTCATGGAACAACGATAGTAATTTATTCTTCCTGACAAATGGTCAAGGTTGCATTCATATTTTAAGGTATAATAACTTTCTTCATTATGTTAAGTCTAAAGCTTTCTCGATGAATTTTCTTCTTCTTCTTTTTCAGAACTAAATTACCCCACATGTACATGAACTTAATTTGGAGGGAGCAATTTGCCTGGAAAGAGAAAAACTTCCAGGGGAATGCAAATGCTAAAAAATTCAGCTACTACAAAATCAGTATTGCACTTATTGACCATTGGATTGCATAAAAATGTAAAAATCTGTTGTTCTATCCAATGCGTTACCGCCTCATGCACAAATCCTATTATAATCCATTGGAATTTTGCCGATTTGCTAGAAAACCATTATTTCGAGTCATAAATGGCTCTATCGTCTTCATGTGAGCCTGAATCTGATTTTTACCCTGATTGATACCCTAATTTTTATGCTAATCAATGCAATCTGTCAAGCACCAATTCGCCCTAAACTAGACCCATCGACAAATCACTCTCTAAAGGTGAGGGTCTCTATGATGTCGGAATCAGAGCCCTACATGGCTACTCATGGATTAATGTAAGCCTATATTTTTTTTCATTCCAAGGACCAATCGTTCGTTGCTGGTGTTAAAATTTATTTTTTTTTTGGGAGCTCTCTCAAGTCCTTACATTTTCAATTTAAATGTCCTGATAAATAGATACTTAAGTCTAAGTAGATTGTTATGATGGAAAAAGGCAGCTGTGTGTTATGATTCCCTTGAATAAAATGTCCGTAACTTTTCCGTCTTTGTTTCAGCTATCCTGATCTTGAACTTCAAAAAATAGTAAAAGCGCACCCTGTAACCTGCATTTGTATAGAATTTGATCCTCTCGGACGGTATTTTGCAACTGGATCTGCTGATGCTGTCGTTTCTTTGTGGGACGTCCATGAACTTGCTTGTATTCGAACATTTTATAGGTGAGAATTGTTTTAAAACCTGTTGTAAGCTCTTTTGCTTTGCATAATTTTAAAGAAAGAACAGGTAATTCGATTACTTTGATTTTCTAGGATAGATTTTTGATTCTTCATGTTCGTAGCTAAATTACAACTCGGTCGTTTGCTGTTGGTTGCTAACTTTAACTACTAACAACGCAAAAGATAAAAAAATCCTTTGAGTAACATATTGGTGGCCATACACTTCCAGATCAGTATGGTTCTTCCAATTTTCCCATGACAGCGGCCACGCAATTATCGCGATCATGATTGCTTGATCTGAAAGTTTCTTTACCCCTGCAAAGGACAATACTTGGAACAGTGAGGCCAAAATCGTAACAGGCCTCTTGAAATCTCCTTACAAGCCATAAACATACAGATTCAATTGAGCATGCTAAAACTTGATGAGACTTGAAGTCAAGAGCATTTGAAGAGGCATCTTCTAATTTTGGGCTAAGATAAGGGCGCTTCTCCACATCTCAGGCCTTGCTCTTATCAATCCTCCTAAATTAATGTGGCAGTAATCTAATAAATTTTTTTCTTATTTTTATAGGCTGGATTGGCCTGTCAGAGCACTTAGTTTTTCCCATGATGGGAATTTGTTGGCGTTTGCCAGTGAAGACTTAGTGATTGATATTGCGGAGGTTGAAACAGGAATCAAAGTTGCCGACGTTGTTGTTGAAGCTGCAACGTTCACCATTGCATGGCATCCCAGTCAATACCTGTTGGCATACGCTTGTGATGATAAAGTTGCGTATGACCGCAAGAAAGACTCTGGAAATCTCAAGGTGTTTGGGTTCCAAAATGACAAGTTATTCAATGTGTTCAATCCATGATGGGTCTTTTATGATTTAAAGTAATAACTCTCGATTTAAAGTTTTCAACGAAGATAATAAAATCAAATGCATATTTATGCTTAATATTTTCTACAAGTGAATATTGTTTTTGGACTAAATATAGCAGAAAGGGTCAAGTTTATGGGAGCAATCCAAGACAATATATTATGATGGAACTGCTTGTAGGAGGTAAAGAATTTTGAAATACACCCTTTAAGTCTATTTGTCTCCCAATTCCATCCGTCAATTCAATCCATTCAAGATCAAATCTGGAAAAAATGACCTCTCATCGTGATATTAAAAATCTAGTTATTGACAAATATCCATAGAGGAGATGAATACAGGTTAGTGCTTCTTTGGACATATTTCTGTCAAACAGAACTTAGCGCCATAAGGGGAGGAAGGTAGAAGGGGGCTTGGATTGGCGGCCTGACCGGGCGTCGGGCTCATTCCGTCCTATACTCGCAATGCTTTTCCATGGCGCTTAGTTCTGTTTGACAGAACGCGCTATCCAGCATTCTAAATTCCTCAGAAGGAACTCAAATTGGCGCTTAGTTCCGTTTCACAGAAATACGTCCATCTGAAACTCTTAACTGATGCTATTAGACTGAAACTGATCAGAGTAGATAGATTGCAGTTATCTTGGGTGTGTTTTTTAGTGGTAAATTGTTGTGATGCATTTTGGCGAGGCAAAATTAGAGGAATAGAAAGGGACTCTATTCCCCCTTATCTTGGATTTTTTACACGGTCCAACACTCCAGATCAAGAAAACACTACCGTATGTTGATTCTCTCATGCTTTAAATTAGCGGGATATTACAGGTTAGAAATCAAGACAAGACTCATTATAATATCTAGGTGTGCATTTTGTATTTCTCAAAAATCTTTGTCCAAAATTTACAAAATATGTAGATTAATATGTACCTTAGGCTTTACAAAAATGTTGGTACAGACATGATTCTAACGTTTAAAAACTTAAGAAGCTGCCAACTGTTGAACAGTGTACAGAACATTTAATTTAATAAATTGTCAATTTTTTTTCCTAAAACTTAGCAGTTTTTTTTTAAATTTCTACACAATTTTGAATTATATTGTTTCTTCTTCTAATTTAAGGTACTCCCTTAACTTTTTCAGAAACAATCCTTCCTCTCCTGTACGGTATTCTTGTCCACCATCTTGTATCCAGTTCTTCTGTTCCTTTAATTTAAGAAAAACTTGATGCGCCCATCACTAATCATGAAAATGTACCAAGACGAAGAGGATATTCCTTTCTCTGGTGGATTCTATGAGGGAGACCAACATAATTCAACACCACTGTCAATCGAATCGACGTATGCGAAAACGTCCATTGTCCAATACAGGGTTTCATAATTGTGGTGGGATTCTTTTGTCCCACAACGCCGATGAATAGGATCGATCTCTTTTGTAAACGTTTAATTAGACTTAGGGGATTATTTATAAAATTGTTCTACATTCCTAACGTCTTAGACCATCTTGTGTCGTTGAGTTACTACGAAATTGTCCACTCAAATTCTGAAACACCGTCTTGGACATCGGACGTTTTCACATACATTGAGGGCACTGCACCATTGAGGACCGATGCAAGACCTATATACCTATAACCAGACGACCTTTGCCCTGGCTGCTGATTTGGAACTATTGATTTCTCTTTTTGAGCAGAGCTTGAATGACCCCTATTGACACACTAATCTAAATTTTAATGCATTGCATGCTACTCGTAAAAATTTTATGAGAGGTATTTTTTCCTAGCGTCGTTTTTCTGGTGCTCTCTTTCATTTCTCACTGTCCAAGCCACTAAGTCCCTCAGCATTAAAGACAACTACGAACAACAGATGGCTATAAATTTTCTTTATACTTTATAAATTACCAACTGAAACTATAAATATGATTACCAAGGCTTTCTAGGAAAAGGACATGAAAAGATCTCAAGTTCACAAGAGGCTTGCAAAGCTCTGACGCAGGAAAATTTTCATTGGCGGCCTTGAAAGGTTGACACGCGACTGGATTTGAACAGAATATTGCAGTTGTGTGTTCATTTCCTATGATCGGCCCATCCACAAAAGAGAAAATCAGTGAAAAACTGATTTAACAGTTCATGATAGCACAAAATGCAAGCGAATTTTGTTTGGGCTGCAGAGAGGTCAAGATGAACTTCTCCGCAATGCACAGTGGGCCAGAGGTGCCGGTTGCGCGAGAATAATTGATATCTCGGTTAAATCCGAACGAAAATCACTAAGTTTTGGTTCACGGGGGTTTTTTGGGTCGCTGAACTCGAATCTGATGTCAGTTTTGTTCAAAAATTACAAGAAAAGCATGTTATGAGGATTTGAGCTAATCCAGTGATGACTCCTTTTTTCGAGCAATCGCACTGGGATTAGAAACCATTTTAACGCTGGAGAAACTTTCAAAAACAGAATTGAGAACTTGAAAGTGACCAAGAAGAGTCTGGAAAACGACCCAAGATTGTTCCAATTAGAAGAATGAAGGACAAGAATATTCACAGAGGAACGCTTTATATGTTAATTTTTTTTGTCACTGCCTCCTCGTGTTATTGGTTCTTGTGGATTACCATGCTTAAATAAAAATAATGACTTTGCAAATTAATGCCCTG